CTGCGACGCCGTACTCTGAGATCCTGGCGTTGCAATTTTTGTTGCACCGGGCGTTTTCGCTCGATTTCGGGCCCCGGCACCCTCACAGATCGATCGGGCTCGAAAAATGACGCAGAAAGATGAGGTCCGGGGCTCCAGGCGCGATGTTTCGCGATGTTGCAATTTTATTGCAACGTCGGATCTCAGGGTAGACAGCAGCGAGGCAGTGGCCCGTGGTGCACTGGCCCTGGCCGTTCGGGCTGGGCACGAAGACCTCCTTCCGGCGCTGCGTGGCCAGGAGCCGCTCTTGAACCGGATGCTTTGGGCTTCGGTCGGCACCAAGGGCACAGCTGTAGGAGCAATGATGGCAACGAGGAGGAGGAGGAGTAGGAGAAGGAGGAGGAGGCTCATGTCCCGCGTGCGCGCCCTTCGCGATGTACTGATGCTTGCCCTTCTTGGCAGGGATCTGGCGATCGACTGGATCGAGAGGCTCGCCCCGGTGTGCCTTCCACCCATGTCGGTTTGGCTGCTTGTTGAAGGCGGGGTGCTGCTTTCGAGTATGTCGCACTTCCTGCAGGGCCGCTACTGCCAGACCTCGATCACCCAGTGCCGTAATAAGCTCCCAATGCGCTTGCAGGGCAGTTATGTTGAGAGAATGCGTTGTTCAGGACCGTCTCCTAGAGTTGTGCCGGAGTATGCTTGCGTGCGATGGCCCACGCCCGTGCCCGAGTGGATGAAGCAGAGGATCCAGAATAGAGCAGCTCGTCCTGACCAGGTCTGTGAAGACACCTGGGTCTCGCGGGTTCTCGAGGAGCACGTGTCTGAGATGTATCGAGAACTCCCGAGCAGAGCACCGCCATCAGGTCGCACGTGAGGGAGGTACGAAAGCGGGCTCGGCGCTTGACTGACGTTACCATCCTTTGTGTATCGATAAGCCACCATCCCATGTTGAAATATCGTGGTCTTCTCGCCGTCGTCGTAGCAGTCGCCCCGACTGATCAACGAAGGGGATAGCGGGGTGGCAGAACAAAAGCCAGTTGGTATGTCGCCGTCCCACGCGCTGCAATACCCTTGATGCTGAGCTTGCTGTCCGCTTCCCATTGGATCGCCATCATCGCGATCTCGTCCCCGATCCCTAGATCGAGCTTATCAACGAAAGCTGGGACAGGCCTTCCTTGGGCACCCTCAGCATTGGCGAGGGAACTTCTCTTCGGGAGCATCGGTATGCTCCTCTTGCAAGTTCATATTCGTGAGGATCTGAGCGAGGCCCCCCAGGATGGCGGTTTGGTTCGTGGCGATCGCCTGGTCGAGGTTGACGTTTGCCTGCCACAGCTCGCCGATGGTAGCTTGCGTCTCCTGCGCGGCGCTGTTGAGCTTCTCGCCGATAACGCTGGTGGCGGCCTCCTGCTTGGTGGTGGCCTCCTTCGTGGCTTCCATCGCGGCGGCTTGTTGACGTGCGCTCGTTCCCAGGTCTTGAATACGCTCATGTTCTGCATCTGGTAGTCGTGCAGGTGCCGGTGCTGATACCTCGGCCTTCTGGTCCACTTCCATCTTGCCGTCTTCGCCTGTCGGTGCGGCCACTGCCGCGGGCGGTTTGCCCCGGGGCACGGCCAGCCACGGCGGCGTAGCCTCCGTCGTGGAAGTTGGGACTGCACCCGAGGGGGGAGGAGGAGGAGGAGGAGGAGGAGGAGGAGGAGCAGGAGGGGGAAGGAGGATGAGGAGGAGGGGAGGAGGAGAGGAGGAGGAGGAGGAGGAGGAGAGGAGGAGGAGGAGGATGAGAAGGAGGAGGGAGAGGAGGAGGAGGAGGGAGGAGAGGGGGGAGGAGGAGAGGAGGAGAGAAGGAGGAGGAGGAGGGAGGAGGAGGAGGAGGAGTGAGCAGGCTTCGCCGCGAGCGCCGCGGGGTGGCCCCGCGGCCGGCTCCGTGCCCCGCCGCGGCGATGCCTGGCCTGGTCTCCGCGATGGCTCTTGGCAGAGCCGAGCTTGCAACCTCCTCCTCCTCCTCCTCCTCCTCCTCCTCCCCCTCCCCCTCCTCCTCCTCCTCCTCCTCCTCCTCCTCCTCCTCCTCCTCCTCCTCCTCCCTCTTCTCCTCTCCTCCTCCTCCTCCTCCCCTCCTCCTCCTCCTCCTCCTCCTCCTCCTCCTCCCCGTCCTCCCTCCTCCTCCTCCTCCTCCCCGTCCTCCTCCTCCCCCCCTCCTCCTCCTCCTCCTCCTCCTCCTCCTCCTCCTCCTCCTCCTCCTCCTCCACTTCCTCCTCCCCTCCTCCTCCTCCTCCTCCTCCTCCTCTCCTCCTCCTCCTCCCTCCTCCTTCCCTCCTCCTCCTCCTCCTCCTCCTCCTCCTCCTCCTCCCCGTCCTCCTCCTCCTCCTCCTCCTCCCCGTCCTCCTCCTCCGCCTCCTCCTCCTCCTCCTCCTCCTCCTCCTCTCCTCCTCCTCCTCCCCCTCCCCCTCCTCCTCCTCCTCCTCCTCCTTCTCCTCCTCCTCCTCCTCCTCCTCCTCCTCCTCCTCCTCCTCCTCCTCCTCCTCCTCCTCCTCCTCCTCCTCCTCCTCCTCCCCCCCCTCCTCCCCCCCCTCCTCAACTTGTTGGTGGGTTCCGTGTCGGAGCGGGCGATGGCGACGTTCGTCCCCTCGTTCGCGTCGGAGCCGACGTGCGCGGCGTCGGCGGTCCTGCCCGCTGATTGCCCGGCATCGAAGACTTGACCCTATCCTCCACTTGCGCCTGGCGAGCGCTACGGCTGAACCACGTGCCGCCGTGGCAGCGTCGGTGGCCTTCACGTGCTCACTCAGCACTCGCAATCCAAACCGTCCGCGGTCGCCTTCGGCGGTGCCCATGGGCGGCCTCGTGCGACTTGGCCATGGCGTGCGCGTCCTGCATGCTGATTGCCTGGTTGAACCATGCCGTTTGTATCTTCTGCTTGTCGTTCTCTTGCTTGTCGGATTCGGCGCCTAATAGGAGAAGGTGAAGGTGATCTTGGTAGCCCGAATACTTCAGCAGTATATTATCTTGGCTCTTCTCGATGGCTGGGATGGCTCCGAGCGTGCGCTGGCCAGCTTGGCCGCCAGCTCGTAGGGGCTGGGTTTATCTAGCACTCGATCCCGGGGCAGATTGCACTCATCTTGGACTTGATGATGTCGCGTAATCCCGCGTCGAGCGAGAGCTTGGCGTCTGAGCGGCAGGCCTGCTTCCACCTCTCGTTTGCAGTGCTTCCGAGCTGATCCTTCTGCTTCTGACATCTGATCACGATGGGCGCGGCTCCGCTGAACTGGCTGCTGAAGACACCCTTGATCGTCGGGTTGACCAGGAGCGCGTCAGCCTCGTGCACCGTGAGGCGCGTGCAGGAGGTGGTGCCGTCCGACGCCTCCAGCTGCGCAGTGTTGGTCCTCATCTCCACCTCGGTCTCGCCGAATCGGTAGATGACACCTTCCATGAACGTGTTCCTCGGCACTTGGGCGCCGTGGGGGACCTTCAGGACGGGAATCTGGATCTTCGCGTGGGCCCACTGCTCGTTGCCAGTGCCGATGGCGAGGACCGCTAGCGGTTCCTTCTGGCGACGAAGTACGGTGCACCATTGCTCAGCGTCCTCCATGGAGCGCAGCGAGATGGACGATTCGAACTCTCCAGTCGGTAACTTCTTCGGTGCCTGGGCGATCTGAACCGACCAGTCGTCCTCGTCTAGCGCGATGGGCTTCGCCACCGCTTTCCCTTTCCCTTTGCCTTTGCCTTCGGGTTCGTGCGTCCCGTCGGTCACTGCATTGGCACTCGTGACGCGCCGATGGTGTTCGTGAGACCACGAAGCCTTGTTCTTCGTCAAGGGCCTCTGCAACGCTCTCAACTGCTTATCGTCGGGTGCCGTCGCTGATAATAGGTCCGATCCCGTCTGGTCCTTGTGCATGAGCTCATTGTGTGCTGCGGTGGCTTGATCGCCCCCAGCTTCTTGGATCAGCTTCACCACTTGCGTTTTGCGAGCTGCTGGCCCGCTGACCTTCGACTGAGCTTTCTTTCCCGTCTCTGCTATGTCGGATGAGAGAACACTGGTCCAGACCACAGAACAAGCCGATCTCCTGCAGTGCTATCACTGTCGGTACCGCCACGGGTACGTTAGACGGACTATGAGGGCAGATCGGAGGGGCTGCGCGCGCTCGCTCCCACGCAAGCTTGAACCCATATGGTACTGCTGATGATGCTGATGAGGGTGAAGATGGTGAAGAAGATGACGATGATGATGACGACGACGATGATGATGCTGATGATGATGATGCTGATGCTGAGTGTGATGATGATGGTGATGATGGTGAGGATGGTTATGATGATGCTGATGCTGCTGATGATGATGGTGATGCTGATGCTGCTGATGATGATGATGATGGTGAGTGTGAAGGTGATGATGATGCTGATGAAGATGGGCGATGATGATGGTGATGATGATGGTGCTGCTGGTGACGACGACAACTACGACGTCGATGCTGATGCTGCTGATGATGCTGATGACGATGACGACTATGATGAAAACGATGCTTACTATATGAATAGTGATGATGCTTATGCTGCTTTCGTTGATGTTGATAAGCGTCGCCATCGTCATCATCATCATCATCATCATCATCATCATCATCATCATCATCATCATCGTCATCATCATCATCATCATCGTCGTCATCGTCATCATCATCAGCATCAGCATCATCATCATTATTATTATCACCATCATCATCAGCATCATCATAACCATCAACATCAACATCAACATCAGCAACAGCAGCAGCAGCATCAGCATCAGCATCAGCATCAGCATCAGCATCAGCATCAGCATCATCATCATCATCGTCGTCGTCGTCGTCGTCGTCGTCGTCGTCGTCGTCAGCATCATCATCAGCACCATCGTCGGCAGCATAGATCCTGGCCGGGTTCACCCCAGGCGCAGGGCCGCCCCCCCAAGCCTGGCCAGAGGCGGGGCGTGCACACCGATCCTCGGGGCGGGGTCGGCCCGGCCAGGGCGGGCGAGGTGGGCACCCCCCGCCGCGCGCCAGGAGGAGTGCGCCGCCGTGCCCGCGTGCGGCTTCTTCACGTTCTACGCAGGCCTCGCCGCCGTCGCCGCCGGCGCCTCGGAGAGCTGCCCCTGGCGTCCCTGGGCGCTCCTCCCCGCCGCGGCTGGGCGCGGGCTCGAGAACCCTGGCCAGGCCCTGGGAGGGGTCCAGGATCCAGGAGACGTGCTCGGAGCGGATCCGGGGGGGTCGCCGCGAAGAGAAGAGGGCGTCCTCGGTGCAGGGGGTCTGGAGTTCCCCCCTAGGCAGCGAATGCGTTCGGGACCCCGTTTGCCTCAGGAGAGTGCGGCAAATGTGCCGCACGCGTGCCGTTCAGAGCCGTGCAGAGCCGTGCCGTGCCGAGAAGTCTCGGAGCGGAAGGGGCGTGCGCCCTCGGGTCGTCCCGGGCCGTGCCGAGTCTGCAGCAGGCCAAGCACGTGCCCTGCGTGCCGTGCCGTGCCGTGCGGAGCGGAAGATCTGGACTGCGCAAGATGTGCCAGCCGCGTGCCAGGGCCGTGCCAGGTTTTCAGGAGGCCAGGCACGTCCAGGGCGTGCCGTGCCGTGTGTGCGTGCTAGCGGCGCAGGACGGTTTTCGGGGTCCGTGCTCTTTCCGCGTGTGCCGTGCGGCGTAGGCCTTTGGGGTCCGATGGTGTTAGGGCCCCTATGGACGGTGCAGTGTCTTCCGCCGCTTCAGTACAGCAGGCGGGACCAGGGGGAAGCCCAGGTGTATCCAGGGCCCGGCTCCCTCAGAACCGCTGGCCGAAAAGCAGTATGAAGTATTTTCTCAAGTGAGAGCATGCACAACACATGGTGCGTTCCAGGAAAGGCCTTGCCTTCGAGGATCGGAGGATTTGCCATTTCTTCCTCGGCGGAAGGCGGCAGAAGGGCGATGGAAGGTCGGCGGAAGCAAAGCGAGGCCACCCCCGCCGGCGGAAGTCGACGGAAGGCTGGTGGAAGGCGGAGGAAGTGAAACAGCGCCTCCAAGGGATGACAACATTTTGGGGTTCAGGGTTCCCGGCACCGGCCATACGAATACCACGGGCACAGATCGGGGGCGGCCGAGAGGGGGGTGATGACTAGGGGGGGGGGGCGGATCTCGTGGCGCGGGCCATGATATTTCCGCGGATTTCATGGCGCCGCTTCTTAGTGCATTGCGTCGCTGGCGCCCCCTTGGGCCGCGCACGTGCCGCCGGCCATGCTTTGCGCCCCCCCCTCTTGGACGCCCCCCTCCTGGCCGCCCCCGAGTCGAGCCTGGAGCAACCGGCCGACACACCCGGCAGCCAGGCCACGGGCACAAGCAGGGCGCGTGCTGGCTGCTCGGCCGCGGCTCCGCGGCGCGGCCGGACGCCGCGGCCCTCTCCGGGCCCCGGGACTGCGCGGCCCCGGCGGCAGGACCCGGCGGCAGGGGAACGAAGAATGCCGTGGGCATCAGAGCTCGGAGGTCCGCGCGGATTTCTCGGATCGGCGCCGGGCCCCCCTCCCTGGCGCGCGGAGCGCGCCAGGGGCGGCTCCGGAGGCGCCGCCAGGGGGGTCAGCGCGGATCCGAGAAATCCGCGCGGACCTCCGAGATTTTGCGGTGGGGCGTTGGTGAAGGAACGTGCACGGGAAGCTTCAGACCCTGGAGGGTTCCTTATCTGATGAGGGCGGCGGCAATATCCACTGCCCACTCCGCGATTGGAGTTCCGCTGGCTTCCGGACCCTGGATTCCTCATCCAATGCTTCCTTATCCAATGCCCCCACCGTCTGTTAATGTCATTCTTCGCTCTTCGTTCCCCTAGGGTGGGTCGAGTCCCTCACGGGCACCGTCGGCGGCACGCTCGGCGCTGCCACGGGGGCTGCGGCTGCCAGCCACGGCGCGACCAGCGGACTCGCGTGGTGGGCGTGGTGCTCCATCGCCCTCGTGGTCGCCGCGGCGGGCGTGGGCACCGCGAGCGCACTGGGCTATGCCCCGCAGGCCCTCCTGGTGCCTCTCGTGGGCAAGAGCCGCGGTGCGAAGATAGGCCCGGACGAGGACGACGAGGAGGACGACGACGAGCTGGCTGCCGCGGGGGCCGCCGCGCCGGCAGCGGCCGCGGCCCCGACGCACTCGGTGCCGCTGCCGACCTACAGCACGGCCTCATACTCGGCCCTGCCGACGGCCGCACCGCCGCTGCCGATGGCGCAGGCGGCCGTGGGCGGGAGCACGCATCTGTGTCCACGGCCTCGCGGACTGGGCCCCTGCGGCCCCGAGGAGAGCACTCCCCCCGCGCCCTGGGCATCGCCCGGGCCTCCGCGCGGGGCCTCCGCGAGAAGACGCCCCGCGCACGGCGCCTCCGTGCGGCCGCGCATCCACGGGATCGCGCTCCAGAATCCCCGACCGCGAGGGCGTGGATGTGGGTGCGCCCGCCGCTCGCGAGGTGACGCCGCGAGGGTCCACCCAGGCCAGGCCGTCGGCGGTGCCGCGGGAGAGCTTCCAGGCGGGAGCGGCGCGCCCGCACGCGCCAGGGGGCCTGCTGGGCGGGCAGTCCTTCGCCGCCCAGCCGATGATGGGGGCGCCCCGCCTCCTCTACCGCCTCCTCCTCCTCCTCCTCCTCCTCCTCCTCCTCCTCCTCCGCCTCCTCCTCCTCCTCTACCGCATCCTCCTCCTCCTCCTTTTCCTCCTCCTCCTCCTCCTCCTCCTCCTCCTCCTCCTCCTCTACCGCCTCCTCCTCCGCCTCCTCCCTTTCCTCTTGCTATCCCTCATTCTCCCGCTCCTGCGGCTGCTGGCCATTTCGCGCTCGAGGGCGCTGCAGGTGCACGCTTCGAGGTGGTGTGCTCGTGCCTGCCAGCCAAGTCTTTCGGCGCACCAGCGCCCCAGACTGGTTTCATGGGTGCAGAAGGCGATGTCTTGCCAGGCCCCAAGTATCCAGTCTGGGGGTGCGGCAAGTGCGGGGGGAGCGGCAACTGGGCCACAGGGCTCAAGTGCCGTGGTTGCGGAGGGGCTGCGCCAGCGCGACGCCAGCAGGATGCCCGTGCTGCAGCAGCCAAGGGGCGCCCAGGAGGTCGGGGGCCCAACTTCAGTGCCAGTGGCGAGCAGTCTCGGATTGCGACGGAGCTCGAGGATCTCAAGGCACAGCTGGCGTCGCTCACCAAAGCAAGAGGCGGCGGCGCTGGCACAGCAGGCGGCTCAGGCGGAGGAGGAGGAGGAGGAGGAGGAGGAGGAGCTTCGCGCCCGACCTCGCCCACCACGGGCGGGGACCTCTCCTACGCCCAGGCGCTTGGCTTTCTCAGAGGGCATGGCATCGACACGTCAGCGATCGCCGAAGTCGAGGAGGCCCAGGTCAGAGAGCTCGAGTCGAAGCCCCGACAGCGCTGGCGGCGAGGCACCGAGTCGAGAATGCCACTCGCGAGGTCGAGAAGCTCGAGGAGTGTCCCCAGCAGTTCGAGTCCCAGCAGCGCGAACTGCAGCGCAGCGTCGAGGAGAGCACCTTGCAGTTCGGTGAGGCGCGGAAAGGGCTTGGAACATCACACCAAGGTGCTGCACATGGTCAACTTCCAGGACGTGGACGACCCAGTCACCGTGTGCATGGCGGGGCTGGACCCTTCGGTGGTGGCCTGCGCCGAGGACAAGGCGGCGCTGGAGGTCATCCAGCGCCTCCAGCGGGAGACCAAGGCGGCTGCCGAGCGTGCTACTGGGGCTGTTGGCCAGCTTGCTAGTGCTGCCGCTGCTGGCGATGGGAGTGGCGATGTAGGAGGGGGTTGGGAGACTCGGGCCCAGCGTCCAGCACGAGCCCCCCCTTCCAGGCCGACTTCGAGGACCCGTCCTTCAAGCTGGTTGCAAGCGTGCCAATGGAGTCCGGGAACTACCAGGCCGAGGTCGCCAAGTATTTGGCCGAGCACTCGGTCAAGAAGCAGCGGCAGCTTTGACGAGGAGTGGCCGTCGCTCCAGGAAGCGCTGGCTGGACGTCGTCGAGATTGCCACGCGCGTGGAAGGCTGCGGCCAGCGCCCGAAGAGGCCTGCCGCCCCACGGCCGACACCCCTGCGCCAGCCCACGTCGGGTCGAGCGCCGCCAGGGAGAGAGGCCAACGACGTGGGCCATGGCACGCGGGCCGGGTGTCCAGGTTCCTCGGCTGGGAGTTCGGCGACTCCACCTCGGCCGTCAGGCTCACCCGATCCCAGACTGACCCCGACGTGGAGGGTTTCTCTGAAGGTCTTGGGCGACCCGTCCTCCTCCTCTCTCCTCCTCCTCCCCCTCCGCCTCCTCCTCCTCCTCCTCCTCCTCCTCCTACTCCTCCTCCTCCTCCTCCTACTCCTCCTCCTCCTCCTCCTTCCCGTCCTCTTCCTCCCCCTCCTCCTCCTCCTCCTCCTGGGGAGGATTCGGAGAGCGATGAGGGCGAGCCTGACGACGACGAGCCTCTACCTGACGAACCAGAGGACCAAGATGAAGGCCTGGTCCCTCCTGGGGGTGGAGCTGGCTTAGGCGATAAGTGGTCAGTTGATCAGCGTGCCGATCTTTGGTCGTCCATCAGCATACCTCAGGATCATCGCTGGTCGGAACCGCCGTCGTACGTCACGGACTCCCACGCTTGGCGGCTTACCTCTGATAGTGCTGGCAAGCTGGGCATTGCCTTCGGCGAGTGGGTTGGCCAGGTTGAAGAGTTCTTCAGCCACCTGCTCGACGGTGAGGGTCTGGACAAAGACAGCAAGGCTTGCCTTCGGCGAGTGGGTTGGCCAGGTTGAAGAGTTCTTCAGCCACCTGCTCGACGGTGAGGGTCTGGACAAAGACAGCAAGGCTCATCGAGGCCGAGGTCTGGCTCGACTTACCAGGACCCATAAAGTGGTGCCGTCCCCTCCCTTTACACGCACACGGGATCCTGGAGTGGACTGGTGGGCCAAGATTGCTTTCTTGATGGAGGAGTTGGACAGGGCCAGTTCCAAGCGAGAATCGCCTCGGTTTGGGAAGTTAATTACCAGACTCAGGGAGGCCACGGCTTGGGTTCCTTCTTCGACCCTGGCTTCTCTCCCGCACAAGGAGAAAACGGCTTGGTGCAGGAAGCTGCGGCAGCTCAACATCGCCACGAACGACACCATCAGGCGCTACAAGGACGAGAGCAGCAAGGTTGCTGCCAGCTTGCAGCGGATGGAATGTTATTCCCAGTATCTGGCCTTCTCCCAATGGGCGGAGGAGCAGTACGTGGCAGCACCTGGGAAGCTGTTTCGACTTATCAAGGACAAGGCCACCTCGAAGGATGAGTTCGAGGAAGGCCAGGTAATATCGTCGGACCCCCTCACGGCGATGGACATTCGGGCTAAGGTGTGGAAGAAGAAGTGGAGCGACCAGCAGCTCGACATCGGCCAGGTCACCATACTCTTGGGACGTGCTAGGGCTCGCGCTCGTGAAGACGCTTTCCCTCTCTTCGACTTGGAGACGCTGGAAGACGGCATCCGAAGGATGAAGGGCACTTCGGCGAAGGGCATTGAGCAGTTGGGGAAGAGGGACCTCATCTGGTTGCCCGAGCAAGGTAAGCAGGAGCTGGTCCAACTTTTTCAACTTATCGAACAGTCAGTGGCATGGCCTTGGCAACTTACGGTGGTTCTGGTCACTCTTCTACGCAAGCCGAGCGGTGACGACAGGGCCATTGGTATATTATCGACCTTGGCGAGGCTCTGGTCGAGTTGTCGAGGCGAGTACCGTGCCAGCTGGACTAAGGCAAAGGCTGGGCATTGGGATGCAGCAGTGGCAGGTTCCTCAGCCTTGCGCGAGGCCTTAGCTCGCAGTTACCTGGACGAGACGGTCGCGCTCACCACGATTAAAGATTGGGTGCAGGCCAGCGTGCTGTGGGACATTGAGGGGTTTTACGACGCTCTCAAGTGGCAGTTCTTACTGGAGACTGGTATGGAGCACGATTTTCCACCGTGCATCTTGGCATTGGAGATGATTTTACACATGGGAGTGCGTTTCCTCCGTGGCAGTGGTTATTATTCTGATGCCATCATACCCGAGCAGAGCATGATAGCTGGACTTGGCGGCGCAGTGGATTTCTCTCGCTGTTCTTTGTACAACATCTTGGACAGAGTGGCGCAGGGGTCTCCTGGTGTTACGGTCAGGTCTTGGGTGGATGACGTTTTTCAAAGAGTGGAAGGCAGATACAAAAGAGTTCTCGGATTAGCCTTGCAAGCTGGTTTAACTTTTGCAAAAGGTTGCTCTGAGGCAGGCTTGGTGATATCGGCTAAGTCGACGATTGTTACCAACAATGCTGGGCTAGGCAAGGAGTTGAAACGAGGATTCGCCAAGGAGGGCTTCGAGGTCAAGATCGAGAGTGTCGCCACCGACTTGGGCATCGATCGAGGTACGGTTGGCTTTCGGCGTCCGAAGCAGGCTCAGCGGCGAAGAGGTGCTCAGCAGCGTTTCACTCGAGTCAAGCGGTTTGCTCAAGGTGCGGTTCGCAAGAAGATCGGCGCAAAGTTGGCCATGATGGGTGTTCTTCCGATGGCTGACTACTCGGACAAAGTCTTTGGAGCGGCTCCGTCGGTCATCAACGGCTGGAGGAAAGCTCTGGGACAGACCCTGGCAAAGAAATGGCCAGGTCGTTGCCTTACCACTCTTTTACAACTTCGTGTCGGCCGCAAGGACCCTCAGTATCAGATCGTGCACAGGCTGGTGGAATCTTGGATGTCTATTATTTTCAAACCAGGCTTCGACCTAGAGTTGGCACGTCGTACCTGGAGGACGGCACGAAGGCGGATTGACAGCAGGGATCTGAAGGACAGATGGAGAGGCATCACTGGAGTGGTATCTGCAACTATAGCCACGCTCTTAGACATCGGTTGGGACCCTGTGGGGCCTTGGGCATGGATTTCCGATCTTGGAGAAAGGTTTATGGCCCCAGACCGCATCATCGGTCAAGGCCCCCAAGATATGAGTGCCCTCAAAGATGCCATCTCTGATACGATCGACCGTATGCTTTGGGATAAGGCTTCGCGGCATTGGAATGGCAAAGGTCTAGAAGAGGGAGCTGACGTTTGTGAAGCTCGACGTCACCTCACATCTTTGAAGAAGAAGGGCGAGTACGAGATGGCAGGCGCTATCGAGACTGTCATGGCGGGAGCCTCGTGGACACGCAGCAGGATCTCGACCCTGAGCAGCAGCAATTTGGACACCACCGATTGTCAGCGTTGCAAGTGTGGATTGGAAGAGACCGATTTGCATCGTAGTTGGTCGTGTTCTTGCAATGAGGTGTTCTCGTCGGTCTCTTCAAACTTGCGTATCAGGGCCCACCAGGACTACGAGAACCTTCCCTGCCTGTGGTTGAGGGGCATACTGCCTGCTCCTTTGACCAAGGTGGACGAGCCGACTGACAACCCGTATGATGAGGTCATCGGCCATAAGGATGATCTCAAGGATCTCGATCATCTCTTGGTTGGTGGTGATGCTTCAGGAGGGCTTCATTCAGCAGATGCTAGGTTGCGGCGCATTGGTTGGTCATATCAAGTCATCAAGGTGACCTCCGACACCGACCTAGACGTCCAGCTTTTGTTCTCCCGAGGCGGAGGCATCCCCAAGAAGCAGAC